GAGGGGGAGAGGGGGAGAGGGGGGAGAGGGAGATATAGAGAGGAAGAGAGAGGGGTAGAGGGGGAGGGGAGGAGAGGGGGAGAGAGAGAGGGAGAGACAGGGAGAGAGAGAGGGAGGAGAGAGGGGGGAGAGCCAGCGCAACGATTATAAGCCTGCGCCCAACGAGTAGGCATGCGATTGACGTTTAATTATTCGTTGCGCATTCATACTCTTCGTTTCCTCCACAACACGCGTCCACATTCTCTCGTTGTTCTTTCTCGTTCTGCGCCGTTACGACAGAGCATTACCGTTACGATAGGGCGCAATAAGAATTTGTCTTGACGATTAATTAGAGAGCGGACCAATTCAAAATTCGATCGTTCGATACTATCCCATCAAAATTTCAACAATTATTTTCCATGCTTCTAATATATTTTTAATATATTTAATAGTATTTCAGTTAAACTAATTATTAACAAGTTTTTTTGATAAATTATACGTTTGATCAATTAAATTATGTCACAAATATTTTTATAAGCAATGATTCCAATCGATTTTTTACTTACCTTCTATTATGTGGTACGTTATATCATACGGACGCGAGATTTTCGATGATCGATGCAGTTGTTGCTCTAAATGGATGACTGTTTATAGTTATATCAACTGCAACAGCTACTAGCGTGTTGTATGTGCGCATCAGATAAATAGCAGGTAAATGAGCGGAGATGAAAAAGAGAGATAAAGAAGGGGGAGAGAGAGAGAGAGGGGTGGGGGTGCAAATATTTTTATAAGCAATGATTCCAATCGATTTTTTACTTACCTTCTATTATTTATATATATTCGTTAATCTCGGAAATTTTGCATGGTTATACAATTATCGCGGTTGCTGTTATGAAATATTAATATGTGTGCATGTGTGCGCCACGCTTAATATTTAAAACAGTTATTGCATTTATTTAATAATGTGATGCTCTCGGGCGTGGCAAGCATGTGGTAACCAATACACGGATGGTCCAATGGATTCCGTTTCATTGCAGCGCTTTGTTCAATACTGAAACGGTTAAATTATAATATTACATGTGTATTTACTTGTGCACATTATTGGTCTAGAACGGAGATGTATATACAATTTTTCTAATTTTAATAATGACAGCAATAGGCTCAGGATAAGAACAATTAAATGGAAAAAAAAACTTTTTAAATGCACTTAGTTAATTGAATTTAACAATAAATAAACCGCCAGTTTTTTCTAATTTTATTTCGCACACACACACAAACAGATTTCAATTCAAGATGAGATATATAGTTATACATTCATTTTTATCAATATAACCATTTGACGATTCAAGTTTGATTCAATACGAAATCATTAATCTGTACTCCAGAAAATAACAATTTTCATTCTAATGTATTTTCATGTGTCATTACGTACGACTTTTTTTATTTTTTTTTTCGCTGTTATTTGTTAATAATGCATATAAGTTAAATACAAAAAACTTTGAAGCAATTATATTTTAAACTGATAATCTCGCGCAGATATTCGCACTGTATTTTCACAGTTCATAATTTTCATAATTCGGAAAAACAAAGCGTTTGCGATTTGCGAGCTGATTTAGCAAATGCATATTACACATTGCTCAATCATGCTTCTTGTTTACGTATAAAGCAACACCTACTAATCACGACATCATCAGCAACACTAATACGTTGTAATCACACAGAAAGCACAATAATGATGAATCCGCTTTGCAATTCACGCAATTCGAAGGGAAAGCCATTAAACGCGATGATACGTAATGCATGGACGTAAACTGGATATAGCTGTAATAACCAGGACGTAATTTCGCAATGCTTTTCCATGAATGATGATGCGGCAACATCTCATAGAATAAATATCCCACTAAAAAATCCTCACAAAGGTAAAAAAAATACGCCAAGTACATACCTAAAAAATAACTTATAAAAATTTTCCCCTACAAAATAAAAAACCCTAAAAAATAAAAAATAAAAACTAAATATGAAATCAATAGTTAACTAGCCAAGTACTTAGAAGCAGCCCAGTTTGTGAGAATTTGTAATTTGAAATAGTATTTGTCATAAAATATATCAATGCAGCGTAGTGGGGTATACATATACATATATTCGTTCTCTCTCTCCCTCCCCCCTCTCTCCTGCTCTCTCTCTCGCTTCTTCTCCCTCTCCCTCCCACCCTCCCTCTCCCTCCCTCTCTTCCGCTGTCTCTCTTCTGCGCTCTCTCCCCTCCTTCCCTTCCCTCCCTCTCCCCCCTCTCTCTCCTGCTCTCTTTCTTTCTCGCCAGCTCTCTCTCTCTCTCTCTCTCTCTCTCTCTCTCTCTTTCTCTGGCCTTTACGATCCATGTCAATCTGCTTATCGGAACAACCACTCGACACAAACTTGTTTGATTAAGATGCTGGATGAAGTGAGACAAGCAGCTGATCGTAGGATGGTCACCGTGTCTGTGTTCTTCGATTTTTCGAAGGCTTTTGATAGGGTGGATCATTTCCTATTAATCAAGAAGTTGAAGAACTTAAACTTTTCTGATAGTGTCTTGCGTTGGATACACTCTTATTTGACGGAGCGGACTCAGGCGGTTAAGGATAGCATGGAGGGTACTGTCTCGTCGCCATCTCTCGTCAGGATTGGAATGCCTCAAGGCTCTGTTTTGGGACCCTTGCTTTTCACTTTATATTTATCTGACTTTAGTCGTGTGGTCAAACACTGCAAATACAATTTTTATGCTGACGATCTTCAAGCCTACATTCACTGTGAACCAAGTGATTTATCCGACTCTATCCGGCAGGTCAATGAGGACATTGATGCTATTCTTGGCTGGTCTACTGCTAACAGGCTCATCTTAAACTCAGATAAGACGCGGGCTATAATTATGGGAACATCGAGATTTGTCAATGCCATTGATCTGACTATCCTTCTTGAAATAAAAGTAGATAGGGCCGCAATTAAATATTCTACATCTATTAAGTATCTTGGTGTTACGATCATGAATACTCTATCTTGGGAAAAACAGGTTACTAATATGGCAAACAAGATCCATTCAGCTCTATATCAATTAAAACTCTGCAGGCATCTACTCCCTGAAACTCTTAAAAATAAGCTCGTTATTTCACTAATCTATCCATATGTCGATTATTGCTGTGCAGCTTATACTGACATGACTGCCGAACATAATCTGAGACTTCATAGAGCAGTGAATTCTTGTATCAGATTTATTTTTAACGTGAAGGCTGATTACACCTTACTATGAAAGGTTGGCTTAAAGTTGATTCTCGAAGAGCCTATTTTGTTGGATGCTTATTGTACAAGATACTACAAACTAAACAACCTAGTCTTCTACACTCTAATTTTAACTGCAAGATCAAAACAACGGATCGTGCTACTAGAGCTCCGAAGGATATTTTAATTCAGCCACAATGCAGGACTGAATTGTATAAACGCTCTTTTAGGCTTTCATCAGCTAGACTCTGGAATG